GGCAAAAAGTTGGGCATCAAACAATACATTTGTAAGGAAAATGAAAAGAAATTCCATTTTCCATGGAAAATGAGTGTTATCAAACACACCCTAACTAAAAATTAAATTCTACAAAATCTAAAAACGAAGATAAAAAACATCATACCTGAAGATAGCACAATTCAATTGATGTTGAAAATTTAAATATTTTTACTTTGAGAATGATATCTTGCAACCTAAAAAAAATTGGAAACAAATTCAATATTGACAGAATAAAAAATGACTAAAAATAAGATAAGTAAAGAAAATCATAATAAAAATAAAAAATCGAAGTATATGAAGTAAACTGAAGTAAGTTACATATTTTTTGACCGAATTGACAAGTGACGCCCTCAAGGGACTCGAGGGCAACGCCCCGACAGGGGTCGAGGGGCAGCGCTACTCGTGGAGGTTCAGGGGCAACGCTCCAGATGGGGATCGACCGCCTGGTCAGGTCGCAGGGGTCGAGGGGGGCACCGCCCCTCGTGGGGGCTCCCCCGAAAGGAATTTTGATTTTTATGTATGTATGAAATTGAATATTTTTTAATATTTTTGAATTAATTATTAATAAATGAAATTGTATTTATAGTTTGTGTAAAATGTAAATAAGTAGAATTTTTGGCAAAAATAAATAAATAAATAAATAAAAAGAAGGCGCGAGTGCGGAGACACGGAATAAATTTTGAGTTTATTATATGTATATCTGGAATGAAGAAAAAAAAACTTATAAAAAAAGAAAATAAAAAAAGCTGAAGGCAAAAAAGAAATGATGCTTGCTCCGCATAGTGCGGAGATTGAGCAACCGCACACGGTGTGATGTGCGGAGCAACCGCACACACACTTCAGAGCAAATGCTTCGCATATTTTATTTTATTTTACAACTAAATCATAATTTTTATTGAACACAAAAATTAGGATATTTTTTGTACAAAAAAACATTTTGATTACATGTTCAACTAACATGTATTTAGCATAGTAAACACTTCTGTCAAAACTTTTAAATACATAAAAATACGAAAATTAGGAAATAACCATAGTAATAGTTAAATAAAAACTTCCACCATTAATCCCAACCCGATAGAATTACAAATAGGAAATGAAAATATATTTGGTGTTTAGAGTGTTATTATTTCTATATGTTTTTCCTTACACATCCCCTAAGACATGCATTTAACCTAATGAATATACTTTCGAATTTAGTCTGAAACATAGAGAAGCAACAGAATTGTAACTACTTACAGTCAAAAATAATAAGGGGTAATAATATCGTAGGTTTTTGTGCTACAAGACTAGTGTTTCGAAATTTATTTTTCCTAGAAGCTCAAGAGGACGAAAATGGAGTAAAATTGTAGAAGATTGAGATTACAAAATAACGACCGACTACAAAAAGATTAATGGAAAATTAAAGAGTTTAACCGACTACATAAAAAGCATTAGGAATTGAAGTACTCCAAAGTCAATAAACTCTACTGGAAGACTAATTGAAATTTTTGTCCCCACATGAAACAGTGATCTGTGAGGGAAAATCTCAAATGAATAGTAAACGTCAAACCCTCCCAAGGAGTAGGGATTTATTAAAAATATGAATTTAATATAAGGGCTCAATTAGCTCGATTGTGAATTGTTTCCTTTTTCTAAAAGGCCAAGAAGGAGAGTCCCGAACCAAGACCCACGCATCATTCTTGGCTCTTCAAGGTTAGCCTGGGTTTATAAGTTCGGATAGACGATGATCGAAAGCAGGTCTTCTTTAATTATTTCTTGTCTATAAATTGTACGTGTAGATGATTAATAAACTAAAGAATACAAGATGATTTGGCACTCTCACTATTTCCAGGAAAAAGGAAAATTAATTTGGTGCCGATTTCTTGATATTGCAGATGCTGTAATGTTTATTGATATCTCTGAAACAATCCGTTCTCCCTAAACATGTCACTTTCCAGGCTTTCTCGAGGAACCCTTTTATTTTCTCACCTTAACAAACCCATTCATGAGGCCCTATTTGTGCCCAGGTAATTGAGTTCCTGAATCTTGAATCATAAATTCAGCATTTCCATGTTTATTTTGTATGCTCAAGGAGATAATTTTTCATTTATATTGTTTATTATGATTTCCAATCAAGACACCCGCTTCAAGCTGTAGCACCGAGGTACAATTTTTATGGAGCACGTAACTGTAATACATATGGGGAAGAATTCCGTTTTGAGTGTCGGAGCTATATTACATTGCGTGAAAGTAATAGAGTGAAATTGAGGGGTTGTAGTGTGGAGAGGCCATCTTCTTCTATTAATCTCAGTCGGCAATATGCTAGTCACGCTTCCATAGAAAAGAAGTCGAATAAGATGCTTTTGTACTTGACGGGATTGGTTTTTGCAATGGTAGGATGTAGTTATGCTGCAGTTCCTCTATATAGGAGGTTTTGCCAGGCTACTGGCTATGGAGGCACTGTTCAACGTCGAGAGGTGAGATATCCTCGATTGATTTCCATGCTTCCGTTCTTCTTTGATGATCTTTTATTGTGTAATGATGCAAATGTTGGTGTTACACAGAGCGTTGAAGAAAAGATAGCTCGCCATACCAAGGATGGAACAGTTACGACCAGGTGTGGGTTTCATTGCTTGAATAAACATAATCGATTTCTGGCATTCTTCTTAAATAATTGATTTAAGGGGATTTCCATCTATTTTCCAGAAGTGTCTCTTTAAATCTTAGACAAGAAAGATGATGGAGAACAGGCCAAACACATTATTTTTAATTGTAATTTTTTGTAAAGAGAACATAAGTTAATGTGACAAGAAATAAGCAGACATTGGAGCTGAAAAATTCGATTGAAATACACCCACCATCAAAAACAATCACTAGCCTTCAATAAAAGCCAATGAAACTCTCTTGAATATAGATATTCTGATATTAAGATTTATTTTTGTGGGAGAACAAATATAAGCATATGTCTGTTTCCTGTAACTTCAGATTTTCTCTATCTTGTTCCCATATTTAAGAATTAAGACCCAGAAGGTCAAAATGAGTTTCTTATGGATTTTGGTATAATTAAGATGATAGCTTGCTCAGATTGGAAGTGATGCTAAAAGAAGTTAGGCGGAAGCCAAAATAAATCTTTTCTTCTGAATAACTTTGACATTTTAATAAATTCTCAAGGTTGAAGCTTCACCTCTCATTCATCAGTTCTTTTTATTTCCACATCCATCTAAAATAACTTGCCTGTATGGTCCTAACAAGAGATTTTTTTGTCTAAATTAAAATCCATATTATTTAACTTGAATTAGAAAATGTGAGTGGATTGACACTTCAAAGAATATGCTATATCTGATAAATCTAATGCCATTGCTCTTGGCATATTCTGCAAAACGAAGTCCCAAGGTTCAGTATCAGTAAGAATCCCTGATTCTTGCATAGTGCATGTCAAGTTTGGATGACCTTTGGGTATTGTGCTTCCAGGGAGATTGTTGTGCAGTTCAATGCTGATGTGGCTGATGGAATGCCCTGGAAGTTTGTTCCAACACAGAGAGAGGTGCTTGTGTTATGTGCATACGTGCAGACACATTTATATTTTCTTATGTGCGCGCGTGCTGCACATGCTTTTGCTTTGGTGGATCATATTGAAGGGTTGTTACCTTGTTTTGGATGTTTAATTGTATTTCTATGATATCTGACTTCAGGTAAGAGTCAAGCCAGGAGAGAGCGCCCTTGCATTTTACACTGCTGAAAATCGAAGTTCAGCTCCCATAACTGGTGTATCTACTTACAACGTTACCCCAATGAAGGTATGCATATTCAAAAGCTAAATTAATTATTCTCTCAAGATCTCTATTTTCTCAATATATTGCTTGTTACTCCTTCGAAATTCCTTTCAAAACTATTTGTTTCTCAGGAATAAAAAATCTGGTTACCTATGTTTAGTTAGGTTGAGCTGTTGCCAATGCACATCATCTTGTGAGGCCTGATGTGAAAGGCGTTCTTAACTCCCCTTGCATGAGGATGATGGAAATATTGTAAATGATTCCCTTAAAGAACATGTTATTAGTGATGATATAAGAAATATTTTGAGTTGTCTCCGCTTTCAGTAATAGATTATAAATTTATTAGATGATTAGTGATTACTAATTTGAAAACTCATTATGTTCTGTTTTCTTGATCTATTTATATTTTTTACAGTTGGACCTTTAATTTTGTTAATTAGTTTTATTACGGATAATTTTAAAAAGGGCTTATGGTATATTATGGGCATATTTTTTGCACTTTTATATTCTTTTGAATTCTTTTGTTGTTGTGTATTGAGACTTACGCCTTTAATGCTCCACCAAGCTGACCTCACCTCACAGCGATAAAACGCCTTAGTATCCAACTAAGCCTTTTTAAACATTGTTTACTGGTATAAGCACATATTTTGCATAAACCAGATTGAAGTCCTTTTGACCTACGAAACTGGAGTTATCATGGAGAGAATTTATGAGTGTAAGATCTTTTCTTGATAAAGACCAGCAGCAGTGGCAACTTTTCTTATTTTTGAAGTTTAAACTTCTAAGAGTCCATTAATCTTGGTCAACGTATCATAACTTTTGGTAGTAACTTATTGATAATAATAAACAGTCTTATAGTTCATGCGCTTCTAGATGATTCGCTTTTAATCAATAGGTTAGGATAAGATTTGCAACATGTGTCCTAGTCAAAAACTCCATAAAATTCTTCAAATCAATGCTAAGAACCTTCAACTAGTTTGGAAAATCTCTTCTGGATATCTTAGGGCACCTGTATAATCGGTATTTGGCCATGTCTACCAAACCTCTAAAAATGCTTCTGTCTCATTTTATGATGGTGTGGAAAGTCTCATTGATTGTGAATTTAAATATATTCCAACTAAAAATAAAGAAAATGGCTCTATTTCCTCTTGTTGAGATAAGAAGTATGAGAGTGTAGAAGGATTAGATTGAGAGTGGACAAATAATCTTGTACGTCTATGCTGAAGCCCCAAACTCAGTGAACCCTGATTCAAGAAAGACTGGAAAGGGAAAGTGTGGTTTCGGTGGAAGGACAGAGAATGTTTAAGGGTTGTTTTGCATGGAATTATAAACTGGTTGTCAATGTTGCAGTGAGGTTCTACAATCAAAGAGTTGTTGGTTAGTAGAGTCAGGAGCAAGTTCACAGTTCAGTCTCAAGGATTTCATCTACACAAACTAAGATTGATACATGGAGGGTGAGATAACTGTGCTGATGCGAGGATGCTAATTTTGAAAAAGGTTTCGCGCTGATGTTTGGGGCAGGAAAGAATGATTTATCAACTCTTTTTTTGATGAATGGTAATGATGAAGATATGCTTGCTAACATATAAAAGCCAGTTAAGTTTGCTAATATATAAAATAGAGTGAACATATGACAGAATGTACTTGGATTTTGAGCACCAGTTGGAGGTAAGGATGAATTGAAAATTTGGAAGCAAGTCAGATAAAGTTGGTGAAGATATGATGATGAAGGAAAGGAGATTTAATAGGAAAGAACACTACAATGATTGAGAAAGTTCAAATCCCTCTTAGTTGGTTCTGATTTATTCCCTCATTACTTAAGATTTGCGCTTAGTAAGGAAATTTTCTGTATGTGCTGCATTTGCAATTTGTTCAGTTCCATTCGAACATCAAATAATTGGTTGTATTGGGAAACGACGAGAACCTGTATCTCAGCTTTGACCTTAACAAGGCACATTTCTCTTATATTTGATTAAGAAGGAACACTACATGCAGGATAATTTGAGAGTAAAATAGGGAGATGAAGAGGATACACCGAAACGGGATATTTCTTTTAGTTTGAATGAATACAGCTCAAGCAAATTAATCTTAGATAATCTAAGTTGGGGGAAGGGGTTAATAAAAACCTGTGTCTAGTGACTTTGTTAGCATGTTATATGTTGTGTAATTTTCCCCAGTTTTTGTTCCTTCCTCACTCTAAACCCCCTAATATGTTTGATGTTTTTGGATACACTACTGGTGCTAGCCAAATCTCTGATGCTCGGACTCTTCGAAATGGACGAAATATCAGTATCGATACTAATATGGGTATGAGATATGTGTTGGATCCTTCAAATTTCAACTGGACACTTCGCCGTTTCTGCTTTTTTTTTTTGTCCTTTTATTCTTTCCCGTTTATGCTCTCTATAAACCAAGTGCCGCAGAAAGGGTGGAGGAAGGCGGCAAGGCGGCGGCGCAAGGTTTTCCTTTCTTTTTTCTTTCCCTTTTCTTCTTTTTTTCCTTCTTTCCCTCTTTGTATCGATGGTTTAGGCATTATTAAAATGAAAATGAATTCCATATAGTGCTAGTTAGTGTTTCACTGAGCCCAAATTACAATCAAGTCCCTCATTTTCTATTTTATATAACATTTAGTAATTAACTTCCCATAATTGAATGCGAAATCCTAAAATTCTATTTTATTCGTCTTAACCCCTTATTCAATACTCATTTCCTTTTTTGTAAACAATTGATCTTGATCTATATAAAATGAGATTTTAGGTTTTAAAAAACAGAAGTTTTAAAGACGTACCCATGCACCCGCGTCCGAAATTTGAACTCTTTTTACCCATGTCTCCATATCATTTATTTTAGAAAATAAAATATTCGATACTAAGATATGTACCTGTACCCAATACGTACCTGAGTCCAAGCATCATAGGGCCAAACTATATTTTTGGATTTACTACTTTCCCTTTTTCAAATATGCCTAGAAATCTTGATTGAGGTGATAATGCCATTTTGCTTCTGAAGAATCTCATATCCCTCTTCTGCTCCCCATGTTTTCAATTCATTACTCTAGCCTAGGTTCCCAAGATATAAAGTGCTTTAGTATATGACCACCACCCTTTTTTCCGGAGTATAATCCTCTCTCTCTTGTGTTTTTTTGGTGACAAGAAGTATAAAATTGTCTTGCGGTACAATTCTAGAGAAAGAGAGAGCTTTTTTAATGAAAAAAGCAAGAAAGTAATATGGATGGAACCAAATTAAAATGAGAATAGGGATTTTCTTATATAAGGGGGAATCCGTTTAATTTTATTTCTAAAAGTTATCAAGTGATAATATTTCCTTTCTGCACAGCCTTATCTCCTCCCAAAAAAGTTCTATCTGGACTAAGGATTGCTTCAATCAACCCATCAATATCCTTCTAGAAGCTATTCTTTTTGCCTATTATGCTCCTGTTTGCAGATCATGCATGCTAATAACACTAATCGACACCTCTACCAATGTCTGCTATTAGGCATCAAATACAATTCCCTACACTTCCAATCCCTGCTGCTGCTCCTTCTAAACTTATTTTAAATGATTATTCCTATTGCATTTCTGTTCTTTACTTGTACAATTCTTACCTGTAAAACAAGTGCTCCCAGTTACCTTCTCTACTGCCCATTTGACAATGTAAGCGTCTTTACGCTCAAGTTGATTCAAGACTTAAGAATGTAGTTTAGTTACCCTCTTACCTGTAATTAACCAATTCGATGTCAAGATCAAGAGAGTTTCCTCTACCAAAATCAATCTTGGCTGAACAATCTCTTTGAACAAAAATAATACCAGTTTTATTGGTAAAGATTCAATGATCTGTGATAACTACTTCAATTTCGCACGGTATGGGAACCTTTACTTTGTGACATGTGAGTCACCTTATCAGGTATAGTGTATGTCCCAACTTACCCTTTCCCAGCTTGCACTATACCTGGGGCCTGATACAGTGTGTTATTAATAGGGGATGCCCAATAGAATTTTTTAGATATTCACGTGATAGATGTGACAATATTATGAGTTGGCTTTTATCTAATGACAGCTGAAACTTATTTTGTTTTAGTTTAATTATTATTAATAACTCTTTCCTTGTCCTGGGAAGTCTGCAAAGCCCTTATTCAGCAATTATGCGATCCAATTATTCCATTTGCTAATTTACCCTGTTTTATCATGAACCAACTCTAGTTTCAACATCAAGATCAAAGCAGTTGCCTTGGGCTCTTGACAGAATCAATCTTGGTTGAATAATCTCTTTGAACAAAAATAAGACCAATGTTATTGGTTAAGGTGCAAGGATCTAGTATTTACCTTGTTTAATTTACTTGGACTATAAGATCTACACTCACCTCTGTCCATTGGGGTGTGGGAACTCTTCTGGACATGTGATGCACCTTGTCCAATATGGTGCCAACTAACCCTTGCCTCTTCTCACTATACCTAGGGCCTGTTATGTGTGTTGCTAGTAGGGGATGAGCCATTGGAATTTTTTATAAATCCGTGTCATAGATGTGACAGAATTATGAGATGGCTTTCAACTACCAGAAAATGGAACTTATTTTGTTTTATATTGAAATTAACAATTTTTTTTCTCACCTTGGGAAGTTGGCAAAGTCCTTATTCAGCCTTGATGTGATCCAAATTTTGTGTTTAGTGTTCACCATGTTTTGGAGAAGTGGTAACATATTTCAAGAAAGATGTCTCAATAATTTGCAATTCAACTTTGACCCTCACTATATGGCTTAGGATGGCCCATCATAAGTCTTTAGTTGCTGAATGTCTTTAAATACATAAAGGTTATCAGGCTTAAGTACTGTAGCTTAGAGGTGAAATTTGAGAGATAAACTAGCAAAAGCAGTGAAATAACTGTACCGAAGTAGGACAGAATTTACCATTTTATTTTTTGTTTTTGTTTTCGTTTTTTTTCTCTTGGGATAACTTATGGTTGAGAATAGTCAAGAGATAATACTATAAGATACTCTTACACTGCATTATCATGATGTTTAGAATTAAGTTTAGACTCATTTCAGAATAATGCTCATTTTTATTTGATTCTTTACTTTTAGATCTGCTCCTTTAACTTCAGGTGTAGCTGCCAAATTACAACTAAGTACGAACTAGAACCTTAATTTCCAATTTGACTGTGTTGGTATATCTACTCATTCCATTTGCATCATGATATTTGTGCTCCATTATATGGGTGTGGTCAATGCCTGTTTGTATTAGTGCGTTAAATTATTGGCTTGTCAGCATTTTGTTTGCTTGGAGTTTGTTGTTGACACCAAAAAAACTAAAATGTATATGCCGTGCTAGTTCAGGGGTTTGTGGTTGTTTCATGCAGCCTCATATGTTTATATTTATGTGACAGTGTGTTCATGCGTGCACTTAGTCTTGTGTTTTTGTGGTTTGCTCGTCTTGTTGTGTTATCACTTTGTGCAAGTGGGTCCTTGTCCAGCCCTAATTTAATGTGTGTAGTATCCATGTGCGGTTCTGTATTGCCACAGCACGTTGCAGTGATTTATTTATCAGGAGCAAGTCACACGATTTCATGTTAAAAATAATATCATGAGATCGGACTAATTAGGCATCAAGAATTCGTCCTGGGTTTGAAGTACTAGAGGGTAAAGTGCATAGGGATAATCTTGAAACTTTATCCTTCTCGTATTAACCATTATACATTGATTAATGACCTCTGGAGAGCAAGGAATTGATTCGGGACCCTTTTTCAGGCTGCAGTTTACTTCAACAAAATACAATGCTTTTGTTTTGAAGAGCAGCGACTTCTTCCTGGAGAGCAGATTGACATGCCTGTAAGTGTTTGTTTCAATTTCTAGTACAAGTAGCGTTGCTCCTGGATTCTTGACAGATGATTATACTTTTGATCTGCAGGTCTTCTTTTATATAGACCCCGAGTTTGATAAAGATCCAAGAATGGACGGTATCAACAACTTGATTCTGTCTTACACATTTTTCAAGGTTTCTGAAGAAAATTAACGCTGCTTATGCTGTCACAAAGTATTTTCAGTGCGAAAGTAGAGTTTCTTCTGGACATCTAAGGATAATTTTTAGAGTTTATTAACAGGAGGGAATTTGAAGACTGAAGAAGATATTAATAAATGCTCCAAATTCAATAGATTTCCGGTAGCAAAAAGGTTGCTGAGTCTGTTTTTAACTGATGCTATGCGATTTGAGTAAAAGACGATGAACTGATAATTTGAATAATTATTTTTTCTTTTGCCTTTGTCTTTTCAAACTGATCTCTACTTTGTTAAGGAGTAACTCTGTTCTTATGTCCCATGTGCAAGGGTTAGGGGTGGCAATGCGTGGGCTTCCTGCCCCCCTATCCACTTCTACATGCTGGCCAGTTGGCTCGTCTATAGGGAATGAGGCTGACCCAGGCCTCAATGTTGACGATCCAAGTCTCAACTTCAAATTGCTTAGGCATAAAAAGAATTTAGGCACCTGCTGGAGTCTCATTTTTTGTTCAAAATGCATTTTGGAATAATATTTTATTGGATAATGTATGGTAAAAAATAAGGAAAAATTTTGGGTTTGCGTGTAATACTATTTTATTGAAGAATTTGTCATCGAGAATAAGAGAAAAAAACATATTTTGAAAATAATTGACACCAAACAAGGGCTAGA